TGACTTCACATGGTGTGTATAACTGATGGAATAATATAGACTGCCTGGGTGTCTACTTATGGAAGTTTAGGCTACTGACTACCCCAAACCCAAAGTACAAGATGCCCTGGGCTATCTATAAAATGCCTATATTTGGGACGAACTCTGGTCAAGTTCATTATTTATACGAGGTTTCAACCCAAGCCCAACCCAAATTTTGTTACAGCCCAAGTTGTCTGGCCCACCATGAAAAAGAAGTTTCTTCGGTGCCAACCCTTACATGAACTTTTTGACATTCTGGCGCATAGGTTGATAAGGATCCTACAAATGATGGTTCAGGCCAGTATCAGAATTTTTAGGCCCAAAGTACAGTTGGGATGGGTGCCAGCTCAGAATTGATGTCTAATCATGGGTGGGCATTGGTGTGTAGGTATGATTTTTGACATTTTGAATATTTATAGTTTTACAGTAAAATCAGAAATCTGCATTGGGTTTGTCGCGTATTTCTCTGCATTTTTTTACGTTTCTTCTATTTGTGACAAGTGTCCCTTTACACGCGTAAGCTCAGAAAGAAACGTTGGTCTGCTTGTATTTCATTCAAGTGGTCATGATCGATAGATCTGTTGTTTTGTCGATTTGTTCCATTCAATGGGTCAGGATCGATTAGATCTGTTGTCAAATCCAGCCGTGATCCCATTGGTTGGACCCTTCTATATCCTCTGTTTGTTCACCTCTTAAATCACCCATTCACCAATACCAACACCACGTGGTTGGACTCTGTGCTTAATCTTCTCCTCACAACAAAAAACAAAGCACGTGTCCATGGCTGGATGGATAGGGATATGCCCACTCCAGCATAATCTTCTGCCATGGCCTTATTAGGGTCGATCTCAACTAGCTTGAACAAGGGTTTGTCAGGTTTTAATTGGTTTGACTGAAAATAGAATAGAGGAAGTTCATTAATATCTGACCAGAAATATCTTCCCATCTCTGGTCTCTAGAGGGAGATTGCGACATTCTTTGAAGTTTTGGAGTTGGTAGAGCCACATGTTTTCCCTTCATTGTTCAAAATTGAAACAAACATTAATGAAAGTGGTGGACCTTTATCAACTGGTTCTAGTTGCAAAGTTTGAATTTCTGAGTTCATTTATCGATCATAAGCAATAGCCTATTCGCTGAGCAGGTCCTCTGGGTAGACTGGTAACTGACCTGGAAGAGAGACATCTTGAAGGGGAAGCGGGGGAACACAGACGAGAAGAAACAGAAAGCTTACTATATATGTCGACAATCAACAAGAGATCAACTTAGTCGGTTACATTCACAATCATTAATAAATTCTTTCATGGTGTTTAGAAGCGTGGGTGTTTTTTAGAATCGATTTTTAAGAAAAAAACGCTCATACTTCGAAGATTCACTTTTTACAAAAAAAAACACTTCTGCTACATAGGCAGTGAGTAACGCTATGCTATTTGGTAAGGTGATTTTCATCACTGTTTTTCATCTATGTACTGACAGATAAGCACTACATAGGATATATATCAGTCAACCGTTGGGGGAAACAGTTTACCGATGCATGTGCATCGGTGGAGTCCTGATTTTTTAGGCATGCTCGATTTTTTAATAATCGGCTGAACCAAACAATGAGAAACATGAACATTTATTGAAACACCTATATAAATCCGATGTGACACCATTTTTTTTAAAACGGCCACAGTTCCAAACATCCCCTTTAATCTTCTCTTCTGTGTTTTTGTGTTTGAGAGAGAGACGTTTAATGACAAAATTCTTATACTTGTCATTCTAGTCATTTCTTTTAAGTTAGTTCTGAGAATGAAAGAAAGGAAGAAGAATGATTTACGTAGAAGGTGAAGGAAATAAGTGATGATAGGATAAGATAGAGTCCAGATTACGTTCTCACTCTGTTCTAACTTCTATTCTAATCTAAGATTTTTTAATGTTTCAACTCTAATTCTATATTACCAAATCGGATTGGATATATAGGTGGATGCATATATGATCCAAATCATAAATAGATCGAATTCGATTCACTCTTAACGGGTTAGGATTTGAATTCGAATTTGGTCCTGCAGATAAACTTTTTCAACACTAGAAAAATGTTTAAATTTAAGACAGGTTCCATCTAGTCTAGTGCCGTCCTCTATATATGGTTCTTCGACCATATGGGGTATCACTTTTTTTTTTCTTTTTGCTCATGGGGCCACCCAATGTGGGGTAGCCCCATCACCCAAACCCTTAAGCCCTCAACCCTGATGCAGACGGGATATGACGATCCCATTACAAATTACAACCAAATTAGTATGATACCTTATCAACCAGCTAGTTGGCACCTTACAATTATGGTATCACATATTTCAAGTCTTATTTGGATAAATGGGTCAGTGGTGAGTGGTTACAAAGCAAGCATGAGACTTATTTGTCCTGAGCTATGTTTTTAAAAAGATAAATTTTAGATTAGTATCGTGTATTTTAGGTCTAGTCTCACTTTAGTATCTGAATTTTAAAATATATAAATTCAATATCTGAACTCTCAAAATGTCCCAAATTAGTTCAAAATCATTAATCGCCATTAAGTGATATGTAAAATGACATAAACGTCTTTTGGGTATCATCTATTTTTCTTTATCAACCATCCAAATGCCTAAATCCAAATGTGCTTCAAATTGTTCATCATTTCTTTGGTTCAATCGTGGTTCTTGAGGAAAAAGATGGTAAACAGTGTCTTATTTCGAAGGATAATTTTTGCATTTTCAGAAGTTTGAAGCCACACATGTCATCACGTGGTACAAATAACTAATGGACTATTAACAGTAGGAACTAAATTGAGACTTTGGGGGAGTTCAGGTACTGGATTGGTACGTTTTAAAATTTGGATACCAAAGTGAGACTAGGCCCAAAGTACAGGGTACTAATCTACAATTTACCCATTTTAAAAATGGCCCAGAAATATAAATCCTCTTTAGTCTAGGTGGCGGGTTAGTGGTTAAACCATTTATGTGAAATTGGTCAATCTGTGGTATCATAAATTAAACAAAAAATATATAAAAAACAAATGAAATACAAAAAATTTATTAAAAAATTTAAAATCTATATTCCTCGTCTCAAAGAAAATAAGTAGTAAATGAGAAATATTATTATTAATGGTAAAAATGATTAAAATCGCAAGAAAAAACATAAAATATAAATGTCTAATCCCTGACTAACTGGTCAGGTCAAATGATTCAATAATTTAGTAGGTGTTTGGCATCGATGTCGTTACTTCAGAGATGTTTTCTGAGAAAATGGTGTTGTAAGCATGAGGGCCTGTTGCACCATTTTCTCAGAAAATGACTCCTTTTTTGGCATCGATGTTGCCACATAAACTGTTTTTTTGGGGAAAACAGCACTGGTTTTGTTTGGTACCAATGCTGATTAACCTTTTTCAGCATTGCTCTACATTATCCAATGCCCAAAATGATGCCACATCATTGCACCATAGGCAACAATAGGTTGTTTTTTGAGAACACATTGAATTTGGTGTTTCTTCATACCACACTTTCCCAATTTCCAAGGTGTGGTCTAGAGCAACATTTTTTTCTAAAAAAACGATGCTAAATAAGAGTCATTTTTTGAAGCACCACTTTTTCTGATGTGGCGCCATTTTATTAGAAAACGGCATCGATGTCAAACACCACCTTAGTTTGCTGGGTCACTGGGTCACTGATGGATAGGGATGGCAATTTCCCCATTTCCTCATGGGGATCAGCCCCAAATGAGGCGAGGATAGGGATGATTTTCCTCCCGCGGGGACTGGGATGATGAAATTTTCATCCCCGTTAGCGGGGATGGGACAGGGTCGAGGACAGCACTCCTCGCCTCGCGGGAACCCCAATCCCTACCCCGTGGGATCCCCACTAATATATATGTATGCATACATTATATATGTATATATGTACACATACATCTACATATTAATATTTTTAAAAATATGATTGAATATGCTTGAATCTTTTTAATAATATTGTAAATTTTAATTATTTTATTTTTAATTTATAAATAAAATAAAAAGCAAATACAAATTGAATAACATTATAAAAAATCACAGAGAATGAGGATCCCGTGGGGATGATGAGGATAGGGATGGGGATTTTAGTGGGGAGGGGGATGGAAAGCCTCTCCCCATCCCCGCCCCGTTGCCATTCCTAGTGATGGACCAAATGTATTTTAGGGTTTAATAGTTAGAGTGAAAGGACCCAGAAATGTGAAAAGATTTCATGTGACCGGTGGTTGAATGCGAGACACCCAATGAAACGTTTAGACACCAATATTTTTAACCCAACACCATTTTGATTTTGATTTGACGTTTTTTTTTTTTTCTTTTAAACACTGGCGTATTTGCCATTAATTGATTTTTTTAACAATAACCTGTTTGCATTTTATTGAAGGGGTCTCTGGATTGTGGCAGAGATATGCAATCTCCCCAGAATGTGGCTTGAATGACAAACCGATCGGTTCGACCGCAGGTTGAAAACCCAGAACAGTAATCCACCGGAAAACCCGAAACTCAAAGAATGTCTGTAGAAATGAAGCATGTATATATCTAGGAAGTTAGGATTTAGGAAGGATGATTTGATTCTAGAGGCAGGAATATTTGACAAAAGCAGGAGAGAGACATCGCTTGTTGAGCCAAACACTTGGCTAACATGCAACCATATATTGTGGTAGTAGCTCATACTTTACAGATACAACTTCTAAACTTGACGTGGCGTCACTCTTTAAATTCCAAAAATCACAACCCATGAAGCGTCGAAACGAACATTTCACAGTTCACACCCCCCATGAGCCATGAAAAACATTGAATTGAATAGGAAGATGATTTGATCGATCCCTTAAAATTTCAAAACAAGAATGCGCCAGCGTCATCCATACATTTCCTGTATTCGCTCTATAAACGTACCCACTACTGCCACGTACGTTTTTCAGAAGACTTTTGTCTTCTCTCTTGCAATTACTTGTTTTGCTTTCTGTCTAATTACCAGCCCACGTCAAGCTTTCCGCAGGATTCAAGGAAGATATTTGATATTTCGGAGGTTTATAAATGTTGCGACGAGCTCTCTTTAACGCTTTAAAATTTGCTTATTGTTCTATAGAGAGAGATGATTGTTCTGTCGAGATGTCATACATCAAAGGCCGTGGAAGTAAGAAATATGGATGGTGGAGGTGATGGAAAGTACGAGCGGGAGGGTGTGTGTAAATCTCTAACTGTGTGGAGAAAGTCACTCTTGTTCAGTTGTAATGGGTTTACAGTGATCGATTCTGATGGGAAGTTGGTTTTTAGGGTCGACAATTATATGGACGGTCATAGGGAAGAGATCCTCCTCATGGACGGTTCAGGCAACCCCCTCCTCACTATGCGTCGCAAGGTCTCTCTCTCTCTCTCTGAATTCATAGTTTCATTAATAAAAGAATTGATCCCAGTTCTCTTGTTGTTTAGCAGAAGCTTATGACATTTGTAGAGAATTGGCTTATATTCGAAGGCGAAGGAAGTGAGGAAGTGTGCAGAAGCAGATCGGCGAAGAAGAAGCCAACACCAATCTTCTGCGTAAGGAAACACATGAATCTTCTGAGCTCTAATTCGAGTGTGCTAGCTCATGTGTTTACAGGATCTTCTTCATCCAACACCAGATTCCTTTACGTGATTGAAGGCTCCTACTGCCAAAGATCGTGCCAAGTGCTCGATGAGTCGAGGAAGGTGATGGCAGAGATTAAGAGAAAGGAAGCCATGTCGCAAGGAGGAAGAGGAGGAATCTCCTTCGGTGTCGATGTCTTTCTTTTGATCGTACGATCCGATTTCAACCCTGGTCTTGCAATGTCTCTCGTTTTACTTCTTGACCAAATGTTCTCCTGATTCGTTTTCGTTTACCAGACAGACACCCAGGAAAAAAAAATCAAAGAATTAATTAAAAGAAGAGAGAAATATTTAATGTTTGAACTCGCACCGGGTCGGGAATCAAAAAACCGGAGATAGAGTATCGACCCCTGTACCTCTCGCATGTTAAGTGACTGCTCTACCATCTTAGCTACATTCCCATCATAACATATTTTCATCAAATCACATTTTGATTGTTTTTTTTTCTCCCTACTTGTTCCTCACCACAAATAAAAAAAAAAAAGGCAAATCTCTTTCGTCCAGTACCTCCATGATTCCATCTCTGTCCTGACACACGCATCTTGTAGATAAGTCCAAACGTTCGAGAATTGGTATAGTAGTATTCACAGCAACTGTAGAAACTTAAAATCATATCTACTTCGTGTGTTTATATGAGAGAGAGAGAGAGAGAAACGTTGATTTCTATTGCCTCATCCAATGCTCTACAGAAAGGCAACAAACAATTACAAATGATGTCGTCCCAACCAATTCCCCATTCTACAACACCTATCCTTCAATTTACTTTTACAACATCAACATAATTCATCCTGCCAAAGAACCCCTTTTTTTCTCAGAAAATGCAAATCTATTTTAACTAAAAAAAGGAACCCCCTTTTGACCTGGCAGGTTAATATACAAACTGCCCTCCATTGAGAGAAAAATAACCCCAATATCAACAATGTTAACGACCATTGCCCATCAACATGGAACAGTAACCATCATTCCTTCTTGCTCTTTCCTCTACCCCAATCCATTGCCAATGTCATCCTTGACTTCTGCTGACCGTTGTATGCCTTGTCCAACATTCTTGCAGGGGAAGGCAATGTACCCAATAGCCTAATAGGATCAGAGTTCAACAGCTTGGTATCAGTAACCGATTCTTGTTCAAATTTGTTCAACGACGATTTGCTTGATGTAGGGGTAGACCACTTAATCATTCCTCTTGCAAGGCCCTTTTTTGGACTGACATCCTTTCTCTCATCCTTTGTGTGCAATCTCGGTCTCTTAGAAGTTGTCGTCTGGTCAGTGATACAACCATGTCCAGTTTCTGGTTTTGCGGTGACAGACACACTTTCAGTTTTTCCTGTTGAAGCCCCTGGCTTTGGGGCTTTCATGGCTTTTGTTGAAGGTCTCTTCGGCCATCTAACCTTTCCATCACCTTCTTTGCCTTCTTTCTGCTTCCAGGAATGAGTTGCAATTTCATAGAGAGTTTGAGCAGCAGAGATTACCCTTGGAGAATGCCCAGCTGTTAATTAACAAAAAACAACAAATATCTGATGAAAAACTTGAACCACAACCAGAAAGTGAGAAAAAAAAAAATCGGTTAACAGGGACCCCTTGAGCACTACCACAATTCCATGGGATGTATCCAACCCAACTCAATGACGTAAGAAAAAGGACAGAAAAGCATACACTTCTATTGATAAAAGTGTCTCTCCTGTATTGTTGTTCTCATAAATGTATCTAGCAAAAGGCTCGAGTGGGAAGCCACTCGAGTTTCTTTACAATTCCATCAGTAACAAATACTACCAATTTACAAAAGGGAAAGATGAATCATGGTGTCACAAGGTTATTTTTCTTGTACGAGATACAACTGCATCAGACAATACAGATTAGGAACATCTTGCAAGTCCAAGTGGGTCACTTATTTGTTGGTCCAGGCAGATCCTACACACCATGTTCTAAATATGTATACAAAATGCACCTGCGTGCCATGCTAGCATATTGCTCGCCTAGAAGTAAAGAATCTGAATCATACAAGGACTAATAATCACAAGCATTAAAAAATGAGGAAATATCTTACAGATTCCCCACAAACTTAAATTTCATATCATTCAATATGTGAAGACATCAAGGACAAAGCATAACCCTGATAATATCAGACCCAATTTTATCACCTTTAGTCTAACAAATAAACAGAAAATCTTCACTACATACAATTTTAGGAGAATGAGGAGTTTCTGTCATTTACTGTGTCAGATGATTTTATGCAAAAGAAGCTACTTCATTTATACCTTATTTCTGCATTAACAATGAATAAAGAATTCAATTTTCCATCAGGGAAAACTATAATTTCTTTTCCTTTGTGTGTAAGTGTATGGGAGGAGAGGGGTTGAGTGGATAGGTTAAAATCAAAGATGAGAAGGAATAAATTACTTTATCCTCTACGAGTAAAACTACCCTGTTTTAAGTCATCGGGTGTAATTAAATGCCACACAAGTTGAACAGATCCACCAACAACACATGTAAATGGAGAACAGGAGTTACCATCAGTTCTTTCTGACTGCTCCATCTCAACAAAATCAACTTCAGTCTCTTGAACTGGCATAGCATTAACTGGGGAACCCATCAAAACTGCACAGTTTCCTTGACACTTGAGATCGCCTTCAGCTTCTGGTGTTTTTAAGAAAATTGCCCTTGTTAAAGTCGATATGGATTTGATAGAAATAAGGGTAACCATGCATAGCAACTTACAACTTTATGATGGTCTTACCTGGAAGATGACATGCCACAGTAGATGACAACGGCTCACACAAAGATGAATTAACATGTACGGAAAGAGATTTTTCACTTTCATGAACGAACTCTTTTCCTCCTGAAGGAACTAGACTATCATCATAGGGCAGTGAGTCCAAATCTGCAAAGGCAAGAGCAACCCCAGGAGAGCTGGCAGCATTCCCCATTCTTACCCATCTACTTTGGCATGTGCTCCTGTTTGTTGACATCTTGCCTGGATCGATATTGGTTCTACAGGACCCACTTAATGAATGTGACCAAGAAAAAGACGGCAAACTAGACCTGTTAGATGTTGGCTTGCCTGAACGTAGATCTGAAATGTTCCTTGAAGATACTGCAGATTTGACTGTATCCAACAAGAGAGAATCCAAGTCCTTGGCTGGTGGAAGAGCTAAGCGGCCCAGCATATCTTTAAGTTCATAAAGTTGAGAACTATTTGCATTGATGGGAGCTCCTGGCTTAATAGAATCCTTAATATTTAAGAATAAAAGATAAAGCAGATCAAATCAGTTAACCAAGTCTCCAATAGTTACATCCATAAAAAAAGGGAAAAAAACAGAAAACCAAAAAGTCTCCAAGAGTTACGTTTTAAGAAAAAAAAAAAAAGATGCATATAAAACCAAAGAAAGGGGGAGCCGGGGTAACCCAAAACTAGAGCCCAGTTAGCCATTTACAATAAAGATTCAACAATGGGAAATTTGGAAGAAAATTTGAAATGGAATTATATTTTCCATTTTGAGGAATATTAGGGAAAGCACAAAATGAAAACCCGTGAAACTTTAAAGATATTCATATATGATACACTGGCTTCTGAAATAGCATCATCAAAAGTCATATAGAATAGAACACACAAATGGTAAATCCAACAACAGCTAAAAATAGATAAAGAATCATTTAGCTTTATGCTTTAAAACCATCCTAGCTGAGAAGATTTGTATCTGGTTTATGTTTTGATGAGAATTCAGTAAGAAAAAGAAGAATAAAAGTAAAGAACAGAAGAGAAGAAGAGAGGAGAAGAGAGAATGAGAAAAGGGGAGCAGTTAGTTGTGAACTTGCCACCCCATTCATCTATTTATTTGTTTGTATATAAAACATAGGCTCAGTTTGGAAAGAGTACAAATACAAATATGAACAGTGCAAATACATACAAAATAATACAAAATATAAGGTTTTGCACTCTACGTATTTGTATTTGTACTCCTTCCAAACTGAGCCATAAGTACACTTCCACTAATACCCCTACCACCTATATGAGAAAGAAAAACATAAAGAAACAATATAAATAACATGAAATAAAGCATAAATATGAAGTGGGACTGGACAGAAAAACTATTACACTATATCTCTATACTCCCCAAGTTGGGAATAGATATCAGTCATTCCCAACTTGTGTAAATCTGTCTCCAACTTGATCTTCATGACTACTTTAGTGAAGAGATCAGCAAATTGTGTATCAGAAGTGATATAGGGAAGACACACTTCTAGAGAAGCAACTCTCTCCCTCTCTGATAAAATGTCGGCCCACTTCAATATGTTTGGTTCTATCATGTTGTATCAGATTATGAGCAATATTAATGGTAATCCGATTGTCGGAATACAGCATCAAGGGCCTTTCATATTCAATGCCCAACTCCTCAAGTAGGGATCTCAACCATAACACTTCATCCACACCATTAGCCATGGACCTATACTCTACCTTAGCATTAGAACGAGCAACAATATGTTGTTTCTTATTTCTCCAAGAAACAAGACTTTCTCCTACAAAAGCACAATACCTAGAGGTAGATCTCCTATCATCAACACACCAAGCCCAATCAGCATTATGCATACCTCCACTTTCATGTGACCATTCTTTTTGAAGATATGCCTCTGTCTAGGCATCTCTTAAAGTAGGCAAAGATCCTCTCAACTACAAGATGAGTAGTTTTGGGAGAATGCATATACCAACAACACTGATGGCACAAGAAATGTCTAGTCGTGTTAGACAAAGATAAAGAAGTTTCAAAACCAACCGTTGAAACATAACTATCTTCAAGAGGGTCACCACCTTCTGCACTTACCTTATGATTCTGCTCAATAGGTGTGTTGGTAGGTCCATGGTTTTTAAAACCAACCCAGAGACCAAACTGGTCAAGGGTCCGGTTATCAGGTCAAATTCTGACAAAAAAATAAAAAAACTAAAAAAGAATGAAAACCGGTCAAAACCGTTCGAACGGTTAACCGCCCAGGTGAGCGCTTTGCTGACCAAAACCAACGGTTTTTATGGAAAATCCAGTTTTAGGGAAAACTGGAGCTGGTCACCTGACCGGTTCCCGATTTTTCTAGTCCAACCATCCGGTTCGGTCCGGTTTTGAAAACCATGGGTAGGTCTAACTCCTAACTTCCTAGTTTCTTCCAATATATCAAGAACATGCTTCCTTTGGGAGATAAAAATGGCGTTACTCTCCCAAGTCTTTCACTTTAAACTCTTGGTGTAGTTGCTTAAGAGAGTAAATCTCACTAGTATCACTCCTTTTCATCACAATATCATCTACATATACAGCAAGGAAAGTCAAAGAATAGTTTGTTTTCTTAATAAAAATGATGTGATCTGATTGACCCTGCACATAGCCAAACTTTTCCAAAGAAATTCTAAATCTATCAAACCAAGCTCTTGGAGATTGTTTTAGCCCATATAAAACCTTCTTCATCCGGCAAACTTTCTTTCCTGATTCAGTATCATAAAGGGGTAACTCCATGTATACCTCCTCCTACAAATCACCATTAAGGAAGGCATTGTTAACATCCATCTAGAACAATAGACAATAAGACTCCTCCAACATATTGCCATGAGAAATTTGCAACAATAGACAAATAAGACTCCAATGGTGTTCATCTTGACAACTGGTGCAAAATTTTCCAAATAATTTATGTCATTAGTCTATGTGAATCTTTTTGCAACTAGTTTGGCTTTATATTTTTCAATGGAGCCATTGACATTGTACTTTAGTGTAAACACCCAAGTAGTTTCTTCCCTTTAGGCTGACCAACCAACTCCCATGTATTGTTTTCAATGAGAGCATCCATCTCTACCTTCATTGCATCCTTCCACTCAAGCACCAACAAGGCTTCTTGTACTGTTCTAGGAATAGGTATAGCAGAAATAAATGCCAAAAAGGATTTATAGGACGGTGAAAGGTGGTCATAAGAAAGGAACTAGGAGATACAATGAGCAGTATATGAGGTACAACGGTGCTTCCCTTTGCGAACTGCAATTGGTAGATCAAAGTCATCTGAAAGAGGCTGAGGAGGTTCAGACTCAATAGTGGCAAGTATGTCATCTGCAGTAGTAAGTAAAGAAGTTGTGGTACCTGGATCTAGAGCTACAGAGGAGACTAGAACTACCTTGGACTATTGATGACCAAAATCAACCCGCCTCCACTGCCTATGAAACACCATCAACTCCCTACACTTCTGACGACCCTCTTCACCACAGTCCCCTTCAGTAACTAACAAAGGTAACAGAACTTCTAGAGCAAAAATACCATTCTCACCACTCTCCCCTTAAGAAGAAACCCTATGATAGTAGGGTACATCCTCAAAGAAAGTAGCATCCATAGACGCAAAACAACTTCCAAAAACAAGATCATAGCAGCAATACCCATTTTGATTTTGTGCATAGCCAAGAAATATACACTTGGTAACTTTAGGATCAAATTTGGAGTGATAAGGTCCAAGAATTTGGAAAAAACAAGTATACCCAAAAGTTTTTAAGGGGAATAGCAAACAAAGTCTTTATCTGGATATAGTAGGTTATGCCTAAAACCCGTGAAGGTACCCTGTTGATGAGATACACGACTGTATAGATAGCATCCCCCTAGAAATGTATGGGAACATTAGAATTTAGCATGATGCTTCTATCTACCTTCAAAATGTGCTTGGTCTTTCTCTCAACAGCTCTATTTTGCTAAGGTGTACAGGGACAAGTGCTCTAATGGATATAACTCCATAGTCAAGGAAATATGAAGCCAAGGGTTTTGCAAAATACTCATTAGCATTATCAAATCTAAGAATCTTGATTCTAATTCCAAATTGGGTCAAAACCATATGGTGGAGAGCCCGAGTCAAAGTAGGGACCTCGTCTCAAGAATGCATAAGATAAAACCATGAGAAACAAGTATAATTATCAACAAGCAATAGGAAATATTTATATCCCTCCACAGAATTAATGCGATATGATCCCCAAATATCAGTATGCACAATTTCAAAAGGAATAATGCTTCTTTTATTACTTAATGGATAAGTTGATCTACAATGCTTTGCGAGTTTACTTTCCAATTAAGTCAAGGCAATGCTAACAGCAACTAAAGCATTTAGGAATGTGGAACTTGTGTTAGAGGCAAGCGTGAGCATTCGATTAAAAACCGAACCGAATAAACTGAAATTTAAAAAAACTGAACTAAAAAAA